ACCCAGGGCCTGGGGTTGTGATTCAGTAGTAGAGAGTGGTTTGCTTAGCATGTGAGGCACTGGGTTTGAGTCTCAGCACTACATAAAAATAAATAAACAAAAAGGTTCATTGACAACTAAAAAAATATTTTTTAAAAAAAAAATGGAACCCAGTCTCCCACTCAGTAACCTCTCCTCACTCCCCTGCTTCCTCACACTGTCCTAAAACCCAGACTGGGGCACCAGGATTTAAGGATGGTAGTGTCTTCTCTTAAGATTACCCAGCTGGGCACTGTGGTGCATGTCTGTAATCCCAGTGACTTGGAAGGCTGATACAGAAGGACCATAAGTTCTAGGCCAGCCTGGGCAACTTAGAGGGACCCCATTTCAAAACACAAAGGGGAGGGGAGAGTGAGGCTCCATGGTACAGCCCTTGCCAAGTATGTTCAAAGTCATTGGTTCAATCCCCAGTACTGGAAACAGAAAACAATCCTCAAGACCCAAGCCAACCCTCTAGTTGAAAACATGGGGGCAGGGGGGCCCAGTATTCTGCATTGTCCATGAAGCCTGTGTTCTGGCCATGAACTCAGTTTGCTTCTCTTCCCAACTCTTCATTTTTTTCTACATGCACACACACACACACACACACACCATGCTTGCTTCTCTTGGGCTTCAGGGTCAGAAGACAGCTATTCTCTTGGCTGCATGAAGTGAGCTAGTCACTTACACTCTGTGCTTGAGTCTCCTCAGCCAATGCCAAAAAATGTCATGAAACACCTGGCACAGAGGTTTGTGATGAGCATTGAACAATGGAGTTCATAAGCTCCTCCTTTTATTATTTTGTTGGGGGGGCGGTGGTTACCAAGGATTGAACTCAGGGGCACTCGACCACTGAGCCACATCCCCAGCTCTATTTTGTATTCTATTTAGAGACAGGGTCTCACTGAGTTGTTTAGTGCCTCACCATTGCCAAGGCTGGCTTTGAACTCGTGCTCCTCCCTCAGGCTCCCAAGCTGCTGGGATCATAGGCTTGTGCCCCTGTACCTGGCTCCTCCTTTTATTTTTAATTTCCAGTTTCATAATTATAAATACATCTTTTAAGATATTTTTAAATCTTAAATATGGATAAAAGAAATACCATTTTGATAGCATCTATCATTCCTTTCCCCAGTGGTAACCACTGTGGGCAGTTGTCTCTCCTTCCAAACCTTTCTATGTAGATCATTTCTATATAGGTTCTTGTGATGTGCATAGTTTTGTGAAATCATATAATATAGATTTTTAAAAATGGGAAAAAAATCAACTTGCATTTTTCTCATAGTAGTATATATCAGAGTTGTTTCCACCTCAGTACTCATGCCAGTTTATTTAACTGTCCCCTGTTGATAGTTTGGGTTGTTGCCAGTGAATCACTGTTAGAACAAACACTGAGAAAGTGGCCTGGGGTGCGCCGCTCTGTGCACCATGCTGGCATTTCCGTAGGATGGATGCGGTCCACATGTTCCCTTTTTTGCTGACTCAACACACTGCAACCCCAGATCTTTGTATTCAGTGCCTGTCTCTTGGTGGCTCTGAGCTGGCCTTTTTATAGAGTGGTGCTCCTGGAATACCTCAGCCTCACCTCTGAGGCTGTATTCCAGGTCAGGCCAGGTGTGTGACCAGGGGGCTCTGAGCAGGTGCAGCCCTGGACGGTGGGGGAACCAGGGAAGTCTACCTTGGCCCTTCTGCTCCCTGTGTGGTCCTCTCTGTGTCTCCCTGCAGGCTTGCTCTTCCCCCAGCCCCACCAGAATAGAAAGTGGGTGATGTGGTTCCAGTGCTAGATAAGTGACTTGCCAACAGCAAGTCACTTGTCTTTCTGAGACTCCTTGCCTTATATATAAGATAGTGTCAATGCCTACCTTCTAGGGAAAATTGAGGGAGTAAGATATGATAGAGTATTAGCTCAGATGAGGACTATTCCTATTAATAGCATCCTAGCGTCACTTGCCCCCTATGCCTCTTGCCTCATATCATGTAGTCCTTCTAAAAGTCTCATGTACAGTAGGGTCCTAACTCAGGCACCTGCTCTCCTTCTAGGTGTTAGCAGTCAACTCAGTTGTTAGTTCTCAACTAAAATTTTAGCTGCCAGCTAAGATGTTAACCAAAACCAAGATACCTGCTCTCAACTAAGACACTAGTTAACAGTGCTTCCCATCACCCAGGAAGATACCAGCTTCCAGTTCTACTTTTCCCTCTAATGAATGCATACTCATAACAAAATCTCTGATCATGTCTTTTCCCCCATTAAACTGTCAGTTCTATCAGGGCAACTTCACCAGAACAAAATAGGTGCTCAGTAAATATTGTTGAGGATAAATGGGTGACAAGCCTTCAGTTGACTCACACGGATGAGGTTGTGGTGATGGGTGGTACCAGCAGAGGGTTGAAATTTGGGGCAGGCCATAGCAGATAGCACCAAGTAGATAAGCATCCATGGCCTCTGGCCAATGGCAGGGGCAGAAATGCTTCCATTCTTCTCTCCAAGAGAAAAGCCAGTTGGCTGCCCGAGACCTCCTTGGGTGGGTGCTCCTCGGAGGAGCCAGCCCCAGGCCTGATCAGGTCCAAGCCTTCTAGGTTGAGAGATTCAATTTCATTAGCTCACCCAGGGGTGACCAGGCTCTGGGAAGTCAACCAAGCAATCTCCTGATTGATAAGGCAGATCAACAATTTATTAACTTATGCTGGCAACTGTGACTGCTAAACAGCCTGTAGCATTTGAGTTGGTCCCTCTGCTTGTTTGTTCTCTACAGAAGGAAAATTTACTTGGGAACTCAAATCAAATTCCACAGAGTGGAATAAGATAAAATGAAGCTAAAGAGTAATCATAGTTGATAGCACTCTATACTGTAATATACAATGTCCCCTTGTCTCGTTACTGTCCCATTTTGTGGATGAGGACACTGAGGTCATATGAAGGTCATATGAAGGCATTTCCACTGCAATTCCATAATTGTGGGTGCTCTTCCCTCAATGCTGCGGGGCTCAGGAACCTGATGTACCCATGCAGGCTCCCCTCCATCCTGGCTGTGGTTCCCCATTTTCCTTCTGTTAATGCCACACATCTTCCCCTAAGAACATTTCTGCCTCCCTGATGAGATGCAGGAGCCACCTGGGCTCATCAGTGGTGTCTACCTGTCCTCAAGAGGGCACCTCTCCTTATGCAGATAATAACAATAAAACCCAGGTCATAGCTATGATTCATTGAGTGCTGTGTGCAGGTGCCTTACATGCTCATCTTCCTCTCACAACAACCTCATGAGGCAAGTTACTCTCATCTCCCTTTCACAGCTGGGGAATCAAGCTCAGAGAGACTGGGTACATTGCCCGGGTCCCCCAGCTAATGAGTAGCAGGCTGACATTGGAGACTGAGCTCACAATTACCCTTACCACCTCACCTTCAAGTGTGTGACTCTGGTCTCACATGCTAGAGTGCTCCCTGGCACCTGTGCACTGGGGACATCAGCACAGCTTCTCCCAGGATTCCATAGGGCTGTATCTAAAGCAACTCCAAGAAATCAGTCCTGGGAAGTCAAGGAACCTGGCTAGGGTGAAGGAAAGTGCCTCCAGAGCAAAGTTCAAGCTTCAAGGGCAGGCTCCAGCCCCTTTGTCCTCTTTCCCTTCCCATATTGCTCCTGACACATGGAGTTCCTCACAGGGTGTCTCAGGTCCTCAAGGCTCCTCTGGGTCTTCTCAGTCTAGCAAACTTCTATTCATCCTTCAAACCCTAGGTAAAATGTCACCACATCTTCCTCCTCCCCAATCAGGAGCTCTGATTATAGCATATACCAGATTTTCTTGTAGTTATCTGTATCCCGCTCTAACCTGTGAGCTTCTCAAAGGCAGGCATAGCTTTGTGTCCCTTATTGTCTCTTCAGCTCTCCACAAGTCTCTGGCATGCAACTGTTGCTCCGTGAATAGTTTTTGTATAATGAATGACTTTCAGAGGGCTGTAGGAACACCAGTCTTCCATACACAAGTGATGGAAGAGCTGGGCACAGCCCAGTTAACAAGAATGTGAATGGATTTAAAGAATTCCAATCCCACGTGGACCAGTGCTTCTTATCCTTGGGACAATGCTGGAATTTTTTGGCCTTTCTTCCCAGAAAGATGCACTGTGCTTACCAAATTCCATATCCTGTTACTGGGGAGTCCTACTGTGTAGGCTTGGACCCCAAGGATAGGTATGGAGAAGGAGAGGGAGTTGCTGGGACCAGTGGCAAGGCCTGATAGGGGCAGCAGTGATAGAGAGGCACTGTCCCTTAGGAATCTGTTCAGTGTCCATTAGGCCACAAAGGTGCTCCATGGGAGAGCATGTTTCCTGGGAGGAAATGCATTAACCCTGGGTGCTACCAGTGCGCAGCAGAGAAGAATGGTTAAGCCTATGGGCTCTGGAGCCTGCCTGTCTGGGTTCAAATCCTGGGCTTGCCACTTCCCAGATGGGTAAACTTGGACAAATTAACATCTCTGGCCTCAGTTTCCTCTAGGATGCTAAGTCCTACTGGAAGGGGATGTTAGTAGAAATAAATGGGCTATTGTGTGTAAATAACTTAAGAATGCTCAGTCTCTGCTTTTATTGCCAGAAGCATGAAGATCGGGCTCAGCTAGAAGGACCCCTCCTTCCCTAACTCCCTGCCACACCTACATAGGTCTTGTAACCCTTTTTAGTTACACTCATGGCACAGGCCCTTACTTCCTACTGGACACAGAGCTCTTCAAGGTCAAGGATACTGTCTGTCTTGCTCTCTGCTGTACTCCTGTGTCTGGAACATAGTTGTTGCTTGGTAAATAGGTATTGAATAGAATTAGGGGTGGAAGGTGTTGGAAAAGTGAGAGATTCTGTTCTGTCACAGGAGAGTCACTGCACATCCAAACAGCAGTTGAGGGTGAAAAAAATCAGGGTGGCCTGAGTGTGGTAGCTGGGATGTCTTAGTGTCACATTGACTGGACCTCTGACCTCTCTCTCTCTCTCCTCCCTTCCCCAGTTCCTGGCATTTGACACCCAGTTGCTGATGGGTAACCGACGCCACTCGCTGAGCCCAGAAGAGTATATTTTTGGAGCCCTCAACATTTACCTAGATATTATCTATATCTTCACCTTCTTCCTGCAGCTTTTTGGCACCAACCGGGAATGAAAAGCTCTCTCCACTCCCACCTTCCTCCAGAGAATGCCCCTTCCCTGTCCTTTGACCCTCTCTGTGCTCCTGCAAAACCAGACATAAAACCTTGCTGCAGCCAGCCTGTGGCCAGCTGCTCCCTCCCTCAGCCAGCCCTCACCTGACCCTCTGCAGCTTGTACATATGCCATCCTTTGGGGCCTGAGGAACTAAGACCACATCATCCCCCGTGCTACCCTCCCCACTCCCCCGTTACATCTTCCAAACTGGAACAGTCAAGGATGAAGGCCTCTTTGGGTTTGAGAACCCAAGGGACAAGTCGGAGGAGCCCAGCAAAATCTCAGAGGCAGGAAGGAGACCCTAAGAAGCCTGACTGAGACTTGTATCCCTACCAGGATTCCTCCTAGGGCTGTCACAACCAGGTGACTCTGAGGGATACTGTTCTGTGTCCATCAACCTGCTGTTCTCTCTCTTACAGGTCAAACATTGACACCTTATAAGCAAATGGGTGGGGAGCACCAAGGGAGATGAAAGGAAGGTGTCTCAGGCTGCCCATCTCTCAACTCCAGGACCAGTGGCTTGTTCTGAGAATGGGCCCCAGGGCTGAGGGCAATGGAAAAGGGTTAGAAAGCTCAAGGCCTCTGATATTTGCCTTGGTTTGTCCTCTTGGGAGTCCTGTGGAGCAAGAGATAGGGGTAGGAGGACCTACTCCTGAGGGCCTGTCCTGGATTCCCAGGGAGGTAGGGACAGAAAAGTCAACTGGGGAGACCGAACTGTGCAGCATGGGCAATCTATCTAGACCTGGGTCCACTTGGGAGGTGTTAGGGTTATAATTCTAAGACCCACATCTTCTCACTGTCTTCTCTCCCTGTTTGCCCGGGACTGCTCCCACAGGCCTGAGAAGAGTGAGGTATGCTGGGGCCTTTCTGACTGGAGGTTCTGGAGAGCAGGCAGTTCTAGTTAATGGATCAGCTCCATGTGGAGGGATCCTGCTTTGCCCCCAGCCCTAACCTGAGGCGATGCCCAAGTCCCTTCTGCACCTCTTATTTCCTACCCTATCTGCTGCCACATTCTGGCTTATCCCCAGCCAGGCCACCTGAGGCCTTAGAAGTTGGCAGGTCCATATCCCTTCCCCCAGCTTCTCTGGCCACTCACTTAGCCCAGAGTCCCTGAACTCCTACCCCTCCCTATCTCCACATCTCTCCAAATTGGAAGCTGTCCAGCTGATGCTAACAGCCAGGACCAATAGCTCGAGCTGGTCCATGTGATGAGGCCAAAGTTCCTTATCAGCCTCCAGGTGGCTGGGATCTCAGGCAGGGTGTGCGTCAGCCACCCGGCCCCTGGCTGGGTGCCTGCTAGGGAGAGCAACAAGGGGCCACACCTGGGGCAGTGTGCAGCCGACATGTGCCCAGGGCCAACTCAGAGCTAGTGGAAAGTTACTGGGTGGAGGTAAAGAGACTCTGAGTAGATATCAGGACCCTCCCTTGGCCTCTCTGTCTCCTGGGCTCTCTCCTCTTCTTCCTATTCTGGAGACCCCGCTAGCACCTGGAAGAGGTGACTAGGTGTGTTGTCTATCCATTCCCAACCCCACCCCTCTCTGCCCTTCCTACTTCTAGCTTTCAAGAAATATAATAGAAGCATTTGAAGTTTTATTCCATCTTGGGTATTTGAGGAAAGAATGAACCAAGAACCAGCAGGTAGTGTGTGTGTGAGGTAAAGGCAATCAGGGCAGGGGAAGGGGGTGCCCACTGTGTGCTGGTCTAAATTAAACCGTTGCAGCAGTCCTACGAAGGCAGTCCTCTGCATGTCCCTACTGCAGAGGGAGGGCAAAGCCAAGATGATCAGAAAGGCTTGATAATGAGTCTAAGGTCACACAACTAGCAGTGGTGAATCTGAGATTCAAATCCATGGCTGCCTCGCTCAAAAGGCATCAGTCTTTCCTTCCAGCTTGAGTGGGGAGGGGCTGGAATGAGACTGCATGAGAGCCCAGAAAGGTGGATGATCAAGCCCCAAGATCTCTGGGGATAGTGCCACCCATTTCAATTCCCACTCCCCCCACCAGATAGGAAAATTCAGTTTTCCTATTTGCAAGATGGAAGTCTGCGGCCAGTGTGGAGCAGGGAGAAGCACCAGAACACTGATTTCCCTGATCTCCACACCCGGTTGACACCCCTCTTCCAAGGCCTCTTGGGTTCCTCTCCTAATCTCTGGCCTTGGTACTAGAAGGGTTTAACCCCCTCTTCCTAGTCATTAACCTGCCACTCCCACACTGGCCAGCTTCCCAGAATTCACTTGTCCATGTCCTTCTCTTCCTGGGATAATTTATGCAGAAACTGGGGATTAAGAAGTTTTTCCAAGGTTGAGCTCCAAAAGATTGGGGGAAGGGTAAGCCCTCAGTCATTAATAATGTGTGTGACTCAAGCACAAATCAATGATGGCTCCTCTGAGGAGGTGGGGAGGCCCAGCAGAAGATGCTGCAGTCTTCTACCCTGGGTCCTAAGGAGAGTCCAGGGCATTGCAGAGCTGACAGCAAGGCCAGAACTGAAGCCTGTGTGTGCCACTCCCATCTGGGCAGTGAGGAGTCCCAGGAACACCTGGATGGGTCCTGAAAGGAGGACAGGCGGGGAACAGGAATGCCAGATTATGAGAAAATGAAGCTGGGCAGTTGCCATAAGCTATAGAGGAGGAGGGACCCTGATGCTCTTCATATTTTTGGCCTGGGTGAGGCTGGACCTGGGAAAGGGTAGGTTTCATTTTATAAAGCTAGAGGAAGCCAGGAATCTAACCATCTGTGATGTGAAGTCAGAAGTATCCTGATGAGGGGTGACAGACAAAGAGATCCTTTCCTGGAGGCTGCAGATCCAGAGCCAGGGAGGCACAGGGAAGTCCCTAAACCAATTGCTGGGTACATGCTTGGCTCCTTCTGTATAATTTCGGGAGGCCCAAGAGTCTTGATTTTTCAATTTCCTACACTTCATCCTGGGGGATTCAGGATCAGACAGACCCCTCATTCAGAAGGTTGTGCATCTCCTTCCCCAGCTTACCTGGGGACAAAGTGGCCTGTCTGCCAGGGATAGGATGAGATTTTACACAAGCACTTTGCTGCCCCCCAGTGGCTTCGAGAGGAGAGGTGGGAAAGAATTAGGGCGGCTATGGCTAGTGGTGAGGCACAGGACCTGCCTGCTGGCCTTCCCAGTTCTCAGTCCTCCCAGACCCCTCTCTTCTCAGTAACCACCAGCTGTTCCCTTTTGACCAATGACTGTCACATCTCTCAGTCACTGTTTACCCGTCTACTGAAAACCACCCCTATGCTGCTCCCAAGGCTCAGCACCAGGGATACCGGCTTGTCTGCCACAGCCCCAGACACAATTGCTGCCCTTCCAGCCTCAGTTCCTCCAAGGTCCCTGGCCTGTGCCCGCCCCCTTCCCTGGCCTCACTTTTCCGGGGTCTGTGATTGACTGGAGATAAGAATAAAAGCAGTTATGACATTTGAACTGTTTCCTTTGATTATCTTTTGCTTGCGTCCTCAGATGGCTCCTGGAGCATGTGTAAGGCTTAACTCAGAGCAATGGGAAAGCTCTCACACAGTGTGTTTCTCCATGCAGCTACATTTGAATTAAGCCCCCACCTTTATTTACCTGTATAAAAAGGTGACCGGTCTTCTTCTCAATAAACCCTTTCTGGAGAACTTAGGTTCCCAGAGCTGGAAGGACTTCCTGAGAGGCTTCTCTGCACCAAGGCTCACCCCAAGTATGGAAACCTAATGTTTCGTGGGCAGTTCTGTTAGATTCTTATTTTCAGTGAAAATCTGTTTCCCTAAAAGGAAAGTCTGTGGTGCTCTTGGATAGATCCCCCATAGCAGCAGCTTTAAAACTATAAAACCTGAGCTCTTTGGAGCTCTCTTGGTCACCTAGAATCTGTAGTGTTTTAAAACACAGTCTCAGCAAGTAACTCCACCCCCACGCCCCCCACCCCCCAGCAAACCGGGGATTGAACCCAGGGCATTTTACTACTGAGCTACACCACCAGACCTTTTGTTTTGTTTTGTTTTCAAGATGGAATCTCATTAAGTTGCGAAGGGTGTCTTCGAACTTGTGATAATTCTGCCTCAGCCTCCTGAGAAGCTCAAAGCAATTTTGAGTTCAGGAAGGAAGGAATCTACTCCAACCCTTTTCTTTCTGTAGGAGGAAACTACAGAGCAGAAGCTGCAGTGACTTGTTCAAGGTTATGCACAAATTACTGACTGGGAGTAGGATTAGAAGACACATGAGTTAATGATTTCATCACCAGATTCCCATGGGGAACTTGGGGCTGGGGGCAGTATGTGGGAGGAGACACCATTATACTGGAACAGCAAGGGATATTATCCTTTGTCTCTGACAAGATTTTGGTATAAATTCAGCTACAACAAGGAAAGAAGCAGGAATAAGAGTGAAGGGACTGAAGAGAGAATACATGTTTTTCTTTTTTCTTTTCTTTCTTTCTTTCAGGGATTGAACCCAGAGGTACTTAACCACTAAGCCACATCCCCAACCCTTTTTAATACTTTATATAGAGATAGGGTCTCACTGAGTTGCTAAGTGCCTTGCAAATCTGCTGAGGCTGGCTTTGAACTCGAGATCCTCCTGACTCAGCCTAATCTCAAATTGCTGGGATTACAGGTATGCGCCACCACCCAGCAGAGAGTAAATAACTTTTATTTAGCACCCAGTGTATACAAAGGACTTCCATAGATAGCAAGAGATAGGAGAGGATGCCAACCACATCACAGGACAGAAAACACAAGAACTTGAAACCACATAGCCTAGTATTCCAAGTGAACACTCTTCACTGTAGCCCCAGAGAGCAGTCAGTGCAGAAATGTTGAGATGGGGGAGAGGGAGGCCTCTGAATCAGGGCCTACTCTGAAAGGTGGAAATTGGGAGAGGGTGGAAGGGAAAGGAAGTTGCAGTGTAAATTGTGTGAAGGTGACACTGGGCTCCAGAGCCTTCTCCAACTTCTTGAGTCCCTTGGCCTCCCCTATCTCCTACCCAGTCTATTAGTTTCTGGGGTCTGCCATAACAAATCACAGACTTGGTGGATTAAAACAACATAAATAGTTTATTCTACCACAGTTATGGAGGCTAAATGCCTGAAATCAAATTTTCAACAGAACTGGTTCCTTCTGGAGGCTCTGATGGAGAGTCTATGAGGTCTCCTAATCTCAGGCAGCTCTTGGCAATTCTTGGTATTCCTTGGCTGTGGCACTCTTTGGGCTTGGCTTCCACATACATGAGGCCTTTCTCCCTGAGTCTCTGTCTCAAATCTCTTCTTTTTCTTAAAAGGAAAACTGGCTATGGATTTAAGCCCTGTGATAAATCCAGGCTGATGATTTATCTCAAGATCCTTATTTTATCTATTTTCCCAGTACTGGGTATTGAACCTGGGACCTCATGCACACTAGGCAAACACTCTACCACTAGGATATATCCCCCGCCCTTTTAATAAATTTTATTTTGAGCCAGGTATGGTGGCATAATCCTGTAATTCCCCGCTACTGGTGAGGCTGAGGGAGGCGCATCACGCCCCTGGGTTCAATCCCCAGTACCACGAAATAAATAAATTTTATTTTGAGGCACCATCTCATCAAGTTACTCAGACTGGCCCAAACTTGTGATCCTCCTAAGTGACTGAAATCACAGGTATGCACTGTGGTGACAAGCTCCAAGATTCTTATTTCCAAAAAGGTTATATTCATAGGTAGAGGGGCTTAGAACTTTGGCATATCTCATCGCTTCTCGGCCTTTGGGCTAAGATCAAGTGTAGAACTTTGGCATATCTCTTTGTGGAGCTACTATACAGCCCACTTCTCCATTCATTCCATTTAAGCAGCTACTACCCAAGAGTGGCCTCCATGCACCCTTCTCCCTACCATTGGGATTGTGTTCACTCTTCATTCCCATTTCCTGACCCTCACTGAAGCTGGAGAAATTCCAGAGCTGAGCAACTCAATCCAGCTCACATATACCATCTGTCTTTACTCAAGTCTGGTTACTCCCAGCAAACCTGCTTTCTCTCTCATGGGTAGTGCCCCCTCTCCCCCCCATACACACACCACAGATGGCTAAAATACTTTCTTCTCAGCCTACAACCCCAACTCCTCTCCAGGGTCTCTCTTTTTTTTGGGAAAATCCTGTCAAAAACAATGAGACTGGGGCTGGGGTTGCGGCAGAGGTAGAGCGCTTGCTTAGCACGTGCAAGGCGCTGAGTTTGATCCTCAGCACCACATAAAAATTAATAAAATAAAAGTATTGTGTCCAAGTACAACTAAAAAAAATATTTTTAAAATGAGCCTCTCACTGTCCTTCATTACCTTAAATCCTCTTTGTTAGCTTATTTTTTCTTTTTTTTTTTTTACACTATCATAAGATACAGACATTGTAAAAAACAACAAAACAAAAACTCAAGAAGGAATGATTCTCTCCTTAATTTTTCTTTTCTCTCCAGCCCAAGTGCTCTGAGGCTGTCATGCTGGAGAAGCCACATGTAGGTGGCTGCCAAGAAACCCAGCTGAGCCTAGACTTCCAGCAATACTCACCAATGTGGCCACCATATGAAGGAAAAGTCACCTTGGAAGTAGATTCTCTAGCTGTTCCTGTTAGGCTTGGATCTAGAATGTCCCCCAAAGGCTCATGTGTTGAAAGCACGGTTCCCAACGCAGCAAGGTTCATAGGAGGGAATTTAGGCAATTGGGTCATGAAGGCTCTAACCTCATCAGTGCATTAATCCATTTGGTGGATTCATACATTAACATCTGAATGAACTACTGCAGAGGTGGGACCCAGTTGGAGGAAACAGGTCACTATGGTCATGTCCTGGAAGGGTTTATCTTCTCCCAGCTCCTTTATTTTTGCTTCCCAGTTGCCATGAACTGAGCAGCTTTCCTCTGCCGTATCCTTTCCCTATTAATGTTCTGCCTCACCTCAGGCCCAAAGAAATGGAGCTTACTGACCTTGGACTCAAAACTCTGAAATCATGAACCAAAATAAATATTTCCTCTAGGTTTTTCTTGTAAGGTATTTTGGTCACAACAACGAAGAATTGACTATCACAAACCCTCAACCATTTGAGAATAACCAGTTTTCCCATGGAGCATGGAAAAATCTCCCTTCAGTGCCCTGTCCAAATTCCTAGTCTATAGATATATGAACATAATAAAATGGTGTGGTTTTATGCCACTAAACAGAAAGCTGGAACAGAATTTGGTCTATGGAATTTAGGTACTTCCATAATTATCTTAAAACCTATTGCACTGATTTTTGGGATCACGAGGTAGGAAATGCCCGAGAGGCTTCAAAGAGACCGGAAAAGCTGACAGCACCTTGAGGAGGCTGCAAGCGAAGGTTCGGGGAAAATCAAGGATAATGTTATTGGAACTTGAAGGAACAAAGTCTTGTTATACATTGCTGGAATGTTTAGCAAAATTTTTATCTGCACTACTGTGAAAAACAAAAAAATATCTGATTAACTGAAGACTTGCTAGGATTTCCATGCAAAATGCTGAAAGTGTCAGTTGGCTTATTTTGGCTTTGTGTCATAAGATACAGATAGTGTAAAAAAACGAAACAAGGGCTGGGGATGTGGCTCAAGTGGTAGCACGCTCGCCTGGCATGCGTGTGGCCCGGGTACGATCCTCAGCACCACATACAAACAAAGATGTTGTGTCTGCCGAAAACTAAAAAAATAAATATAAAAACAAAACAAAACAAAACAAAAAACTCAAGAAGGAATGATTCTGTTCTTAAGTAGCATTTGGAGGAAATATAAAAAGCTCAGAACAGTCTTTCTAGATGTTTGTCCTAATTAAATAAATGAACAAATGCCAAAAGAAAAAAAAAAAGAATGTCCATTGAAGTTATATTCATAAGAGTAAAAGTTGGGAAAAATATTAAACAATAAGGGATTGTTTATCCAATTGTAATGCACTTATTCCATTAAATATTTAGCATCCACTAAAAATGATAATGTGGGTAAATATTCAATAATATTAAACTAAAAAGCAAATTACAAAGTACTTATTATAAAGAGTATAATTCCATTTTGTTGTCTTTGAAAGTAGATTTTATGGCTCTTCTTTATAATAAAATGCCAACTAATGTAGAAGGAATGATAGAATTAGAAAATTAGCATTTTATAATAATCAAAGTAATAACGGATTCAGGCAAGAATCATCAATGAATGCTAAAATTTTGAGATGAAAGTTTGATAGGAAATATATACTTTCAATATATACTTCAAATATATACTTTCAACTTATCTCCACATGAATTTTCTTTTTGTATAAACAGCTTTATTGAGATGTAATTCACATAACATGTAATTTACTCATTCAAAATGCACACTCTTAAGAAAAACAAACAAACAAAAAAATGTTCCCTTCAACATTTTTTAATATATTCAAAGGGTTGTACAACCATCATCACATTCTATTTTTGAAAAGTTTTTTTCCCTCCCT